TGTGTGTGTGTGTGTGTGTGTGTGTGTGTGTGTATGTGTGTGTAGAAATGCATGTGTGCCACAGTGTACATCCAGAGGTTGGGGGATATCAGAGATTGTGTTTTATTCTTCTACCTCAGCTGAGATAGAGCCTCTTTGTGTTCAATGCTGCACAAGGCTAGGTGGCCCAGGGACTTCTGGGCATTCACTAGAGGCAGCCAGAATAGCCCACCAGTGCCTCCATGGTGGCTCACAAGCATCTACGGCTCCAGTTCCAAGGAACCTGACACCCTCTTCTGACCTCTGTGGGTGCCAGGCACCCACATGATACACAGACATACATGCAGGCAAAACACCCACACACATAAAATAAAAATGTTTAAGTTAAAAAAAAATCTGTTGTCTTCAGAGTCTCAGGAGGCTCTGGGCACCTGTCAGCACGTCTATTTCTCTGGTGTGCATGTGCTTATCTACAGCCGGGCTCACTGTGTATGGTTCCCATCAGACCAGAAACATTGAGAAGCCCACTGTCCCCTGTATCTCCTCCCATCTTCCTCCTCTTAGTAGAAGACCTCACTGTAATGTCTTAGCAGGTCAGCCAGCTGGATTAAACTTTGGTAAGGACTTTCCTCCAAGCATGGCCACATGACCAAGAAGAGGCGTGAAGGCAACATCTGTAACTTCCCTAGGAGGAAACAACTAGTGTTGGCCATTCTCCCCTTCCCTGGGCTAGCAGGTGAGTACAGTGAGTTGCTGTAGCTTTTAGCTGGTGGATAAACGTGTTACCCAGTAGGCTGGAGGGATGGCTCAGGGGTTAAGAGAGCTTGCTGCACAATCACAGGGACCAGAGTTCAGATCCCAGCACCTGTGGAACAAACTGGGTGTCCTGTGTGTGACTGTCACCCTCGTTCCAAAAACAGAGACAGGAGAATCTCTGGGGCTTGCTAACTTCCAGCCTAGCCAAGAAAACACAAGTCCCCAACCCAGAGAGAGACTCTGCCTCAAAATAGGAGGTGGGTGATAAAGGATACCTGACACATTCATCTGGCCAATCTGTATGTGCACAAGATTGCACATTTACACACACACACACACACACACACACACACACACACACACACAAACACACTCGCAAGCACGCACGCACACACGCACGCATGCACTCACAGAGACACAGACATACACATCAAATAAATAAATAAATAAATAAATAAATAAATCATTTTTTATAGTGCCACCCAATGGGACAGCATCCTAGTAAGAGAGGAGGAACCTGGGTCTCTCGGGGCCCATCTAGTTCAGAGCCACAAGCCTAGACACAGTTACTTCCAGATTATGGTGTAAGAAGACATGAGCTTCTCTATCAGATCTACGCTACAGTATTTGGGGGTGTTTGTTACAGCAGATGAACCTAGGCTCTGGTTGACACCCCCTGCCTTGGTGGAAGTGCTAGCTGAAATACGGTACGACTCTAACACCAGAACAAGTTCTAACTGAACAACCTTGGACCTGTGAGCAAGACCTGAACAGCTCACACACGTCCTCCTTCTCACTAGAGCACTCAAAACGTTGCTCTTCTTTTTGGTGTCAAGACCATGAAGTTTAAGACTTAATTCTTCTCTGCTTCAAACGTGTCTCCTTTGTGTCTTCAGAGTAGGACTAAAGTCCAGGAGGTGATGGGAAAAAGCAGAGCAGATAGGAGTGCAGCCCTGCCATTTGTCAGCTGTACGTATTCTGCTAGTTTGTAACCCCCCCCATATATATATATATATATCAGATGGGGTGGCCACATGTGTCCCCTCCTACTCTATGGGTGGTGTGGGGGAGAATCAGATATGCTGTGATGAGTCGAGAGAAGGAACCAGCTCTTGCCGGAGATACCTGTGATCCTGTTTCTAGGTAGCTCCTTCACTGCACCAACTTGAACTCTATACACGTTAACCAGTTTGAGTATGGGGCAGTGACCCCGATGATACGATGCATGGCAGTTACGCACAAAATCCTGGGTTTGATTCTCCAGCACAGCAGAAACTGGGCACAGTGCTGCATGCCTGTGCTCCCAGGATTCAGGAGGTAGAGCAGGGAGATTGGTGGTTTAAAGACATTCTCGGCTACATAGTGAGTTGGAGGCTAACCTGGGATACAGGAGCCCATGACTCAAAAAGAAAAAGGTTAATTTTATTGGATGATGCATGCACACTTCTTACGATTGCTCTGAACATCTCAGACTTTGCCCAGCGTGGGTCAACACAAGCATTGTGCAAGCATTAACTTATCCATGAATATTTATCTTCTTGGAGCCAAGACGAAAGCTACAAACAAGACAACAATCTCCACCCACCCTTCCCACCACGCACGCCCAGTCTTTCTTTGCATGGATGCAACAAGCCCAGGGAAGTAAGGCAGCAGCCGCTCCAGGGAGTCACAGAAGGGACAAGATTTTGCACCGGAAGTCACAGAGTCGAAATTATCCAGATTGTCTGCAGACCCCCTCCCAAGGTGCCCTGCCCTTTGCTCTGCTCTCCAGTTCATTTTAGCTCCGGAACGTTCACATAAACGCTGACTCTCCTTTCCTGATTGCCCCTTTAATCAGATCCACTCTTTCCCCACCTCCTTGATCTCTCCTCTCAAATACAGTCGCTAATGATCTGTGCATGTGCCAGACTTGAACAAATGTTGAGCTGCGAACTACTGCGCCTGTTAATTCTATCCTCGGCTCACACGGGCGGGATCCTCGAGTGCTGGCAGATGCTGCCTCCCCGGGGCTTCCGCCCCCAGTCACCCGCTTTCTTGATGAGGAAGGAGGGGGACATTTCTCCCGTGACTACCATTTGAATAAAATTTATTGTGCTCAGAGAAAGATGCGCACGTACAGAAAGGTATTGATGGACAGTAGCATAAATGAACGGTGATGAATGACTTGTGTGAGTCTTCAGTGAATGACAGCAATGTGGTTGGAGTTGAGGCCCTCCACAGCCAGACCAGCTCCTTCTACACAGCCAGAGTATCTATCGAGGCTCCGTGCACAGTCCAGATGAATCATCACAAGAAAATAAACAACTGAACAAACCACAGCATGGAAGAGCCGGGGTACCGCAAACAGATCCTTGGTTCTGAATCCGGGTTCCACACTTGAGCAAGTGACTCCGTGGCCCGTGTAAAGTTGGAAGTCTAGTGACGCGTTATTTGTTGGTGAGCTGCGGGTATTCAATGAGTTAGTATAAAAAAAATTATGCACATGGTGCTTGGTAAGCATTGCACTGATGTTTGCTGGGTTTGTGGTGATAATGGTGAATGTTACTCTGCCAGGTTCCCAGCTGAGTCTGTCCCTGACTTCCCTTTGCCCCACCATTGCCCTTGTGTTTGTATGTAATTTATTTTATAGATATGTTTGTATAATTTGCATATTTATAGGTGTGTTTATATCATGTTATTTTATTTTAGCATAACAACATTTAATTGTACCAGTATCTCATCAGCCATCGGACCTGTGATCGTATCGGCCACTTCCGCCTGTCAGCAGGATGCTCTTCCGCTAAGGGCTCCCATGACTTCCGCTGCAACATTTCTTCTTGCCAGATTTAGTCCATTTTCAGTCTGAAGAATCATCTCTCCTACTTCACCACCCTGAAGCAGGTCTTCTAGATTTTTAACACCTGGTTCCACGTTGACCCTACCCAACTTCTCACTGGTAATCTGTTCTGTGTATTTTCTAATACAGGCTGCATTCTCAGGGAACTACTCCAGAAGAACAAAACTCTCCGTATACAATATTTCTGGCCTCTTGTGCAGAGTGTCCCACATAGCCAGTTCCACCAGGCCAGTGATACCTGGAGCCCAAAGCACGTGGTCCTCTGTTTTTTGAGATTATAATTACATAACTTCCCCTTCCAAACCCTCTCAATATACATACCTTCTCCAACTCTCTTTCAGATTCATGGCCTCTTTTTCCTTCAGTTGTTGTTACACACAGAGCTATTGTATGCATATGCGTTATCCCAAATTTACAAATACAACCTGCTCAGTCTATATATTGTTGCTTGCATGTATGTTTTCAGGGCTGACCATTTGGTATTGAACAACCAATTGGTGAGCTGTTCCCTGGGAAAAACTGTTTCTCCTGCTTTCAGAATCCCTTAGTTGCCTGTAGTTCTTTGTGTACAGCTGAGGCTTTCTGAGGTTTCCCACTCCATGTCAGCATGTCTTTTGGTTCCGCCTTTCTTGTTTAGGTCATGTGTAGGCAGCCATGTTGGCAGGACTACAAGAAAGTGGCTTCTATATCTATATCTGAAAGAAGATTAATATCCAGACCGTATAAAGAACAACAAAGAGTCAAAAAGAAAAAAAAATAACCTATTCAAAATGGCCTAGAGTATTGATAGAGAATTCTCAAAAGAAAAAAAAAACAGCTAAGAAATATTTCAAAAAGTTCATCTTCCCTAGCAATTAGGGAAATACAAATCAAAACAACTTTGAGATTTCATCTTACTCCAGTCAGAACAGTAAAGATCAATAAAACAACAGACAACAAATGCTGTAGGGTATGTGGGGAAAGGGAGCTCTCCCTTATCGCTGGTGGGATTGCAAACTAGTCCAGCCACTCTGGAAATCAGTGTGGAGAATACTCAAAAAACTAAAAATGTGACGCTCCAACCCAGCTACACCACTCCTTGGCATACACCAAAGGACTCAACATCTTACTCCACAGATACTTGCTCAGCCATGTTCACCGCTGCCCTAGTCACTATAGCCAGGAAATGGAAACAACCTAAATATCCCTCAACTGACAAATAGAAGAAAAAGGTGTGGAACATATACACTGTGGCATGGTGTTCAGCTGTAAAGAAGAATGAAATCATGAAATTTGCAGGTAAATGGATGGAACTAGGAAAGATCATATTTAGGTGATGTAATCCAGACCAGAAAGACCACTATTTGCCCTCATCCCTGCAGAAAGTGCAGTCCTCACCGGGCGATGGTGGCGCACGCCTTTAATCCCAGCACTCGGGAGGCAGAGGCAGGCGGATCTCTGTGAGTTCGAGGCCAGCCTGGGCTACCAAGTGAGCTCCAGGAAAGGCGCAAAGCTACACAGAGAAACCCTGTCTCAAAAAAAACCAAAAAAAAAAGAAAAGAAAGTGCAGTCCTCACCTCTCATCAAGGAAACATCTCTTTGCAACAAAGACCATTACAGAAAACCACAACCAAGAAAACGCAGAGTTGTGGAGCCCCGTCCGAGTGGGTAAGTCTACAGCTCTCCTCCTGCACCTAAGGCCCAGGGATCATTGGAGAAGAGGGGCGGAGAGACTGTAGGAGCCAGGGGATCTGGGAGTTTGCTGGGAGACGGACGCCCTGTGTTTCTAGAGCAGGAATGGATGGAGGGCCTTGGGACTGCCTTCCACGTCTGCCTGGGTTTCTGACTTTGCTCTTATCCTAATATAGCTTTTCCGCAAGTACCTTCCATTTTATTATTGTTTATTTCAATTACCTGTAGAAGTCACAGGTGGTGGCTCACACCTGGAATCCCAGCACTCGGGAGACTAAGACAGGAAGATTACCATCAATTCAAAGCCAGCTTGGGCTGTGTTAAGTTCCAGGCTAGCCTGGCCTACAGAGTGAAACCCTGTCTCAGGTCCACCCCAAGTCCCATGTAGAAAAAGAAAAAAAGTAATGCCAGAAATAAATGTCCCAAAGGGCAGTGCTTATTTTTGAAGGACGGGATTGGATTAATTTTTGTCTTTTTTGACTGATCAAAATTTTGTTTTAATATAGGCATAGCCAAGGACTTTCTGAATTAGACCCCAGATAGCTCAGAAAGTAATATAAAGAACTGACAAATGGGATTGTGTGAAACTAAAAAGATTCTGTAGAGCAAAGAGAATAATTCTTGGAAGAGAGATGGGCCACAGAGCAGGGAAAATCACTGCCAGCTATTCATCCAACAGGGGACTGCTACCCAGAATATATGAAGGGCTCAAAAGTAATACCAAAAGAAGAATAATCCAGTCAATAAGGGAGCAGATCAATTCGGCAGACAGTTCTCAAAAGGAGAAATACTGATGTCCAATAAATACACGACAAAAATCCTCGGCATCCTCTGCCATCAGGGAGATGCAGATCAGAAGTACACAAATCCTGTCTGCAGTCAGAGCGACTATCATAAGGGAAACAACCAGAGAAACCGGTGACAGTGAAGGGGAAGAACCCCTATCCATTGCTGGTGAGACAGAGATGACACCATAGACACCGTAGACCCCGGGAAGGAGAGTCCTCGGAAAACTGAAAAGAGACGGTCCAGCTGTGCCATTCCTGGACGGCCCTTGAATGAGTCAGAATGCAGTAGAAACACCTGCACATCCATAATCGTGTTTGTGGTCGCCAGTGTTCACAGTAGCCCCCATGTGGAATCAGCCTGCGTGTCCATTACCAGATGAACAGAGAAAATGGTGTGTTGTTTCCTCATAAAGAGCAAAGCTGTGTGGGTGATTAAGACAATGAGCTGGAGATGGCTGTGCTGAGCGAAGTGAATCAGACTCAGGCAGACAAATGCCATGTTTCCTCTCAGAGGCAGGGTCTAGATTTTTTTTTTAAGACATTGAAGTGGAAGAGAGATTATTTAGAAAAAGTAAATGGAGGGAGGAATGAGAGCAAGAGAAGGAAATGAGGTAAATACGACCAAAGTGTCACATGCATGTATGGAAATGTCATAATGAAACCTATTGTTTGGAACAATCGACGCACATTAATGATTTTTAAGTTTGATTTATATGTCTGATGCGTTAAGCATTAGCCACCCATTAAGAGCTAGACATTTTTTTGCTCCTTCCAAATGTCACCACAGTTAGCATCAACTTATCTATGATAAATAATGAATCAGGTCTCAATGGCACAGCCACATCTAGACTGCTCAGGTGGTCAACTTTATTATACATCCAAATATGAAAGCACTGTGAAGCTATTGCTTTGCCTGCACATAACACACACACACACACACACACACACACACACACACACACACACACACACACACACAAATTAACAGCAAGCTGACTCCTGTGTTTTACAGTGAATACAAGTGTTACAAGTTATCTTGAGCAATAAAATGGTAGCCATTAAAAGAGCAGGTGGAGTTGTGCCAAACTTCTCTGCAGTCCTCAACCTTCTGGTAGTGTTACTGGAACAGAAGAGATGGAAATCTGTCTGGGGGTCGTTCTGGAGGTGTGCGTCTAGCATGCTCATCTAGAGATGACCTTCCTCCTGAGGCAGTGAGTCCTCCTTCTGAGGCTGTGCAGAGAACCACATAGCAAGACACGGAAAACATGGATGTGTCTAGACCTACTTTTCTGTGATTTGCAAATTTCTAAGGCTAATTTGTGTGTGTGTGTGTGTGTGTGTGTGTGTGTGTGTGTGTGTGTTTACAGTGGGATTTGTAAAATAGGTGTTTAAAAATGGAATAAGAGCAGATTTATTCTATTTGCTCTCTTCCTAAAATAACTTAGAAAACTTCATCAGACCATATTAACAAGAAACCAGAGCTGAGTCTGGTGGCACAGGCTTGTAATCCTACCTACTCAAGAGGCTGAGGGAGAAGGATTTCAAGTTCAAAGCCTGCCTGAGCGGCAGAGTGAGTTCAAGGACAGCCTGAGCAACTTAGTGGGATCCTGTCTAAAAGTAAAAAGGGACTTGGACTTCAGAGAATGATGGTGTTGGTCTAGCATGTGTGAGGTCCTGGGTTCAGTTCCTCATTACTGGGTTCAATTCATCAGCGCTGCAAAGAACGAGAGAAAAATAGAAAAGTAATCCAGGAACTCCATGGAGAGTTGATGTTACGGATGCTGTCTGTTGAAGGTCATTGCCAGGCCTGGAGCTATGCTTGGCCTGTGTGATGCCTAAACCCAAGCATAGTCTTGTGTACTATTCTATGTATAGAATAAAGGTGAGTATATACTACAAACCATTTGAAATTATAATCAATTATGAGTAACAGCAAACACAACACTATCTCCTGTAGGAATGCAGTGTTTACATTTTAGGGGGCTTTGTGAGGTCCTTGTGGACTGAGCATTTATATCAGGATCCTGCTGACCTGAAAAGTCTACTGGAAAGATAGCATAAGTTTGATGGATTGTGTTGAAGGGGAAGAAATACAGAGAGTCCGACTCTCTCTAGCCTGACTTCTCTAAGGTGGGTTGTAAGAGTGCAATAATTCAGTGGGGATTGGAAGTCCTTGCCAGTCAGTCTACACAGTACACATCTTAAGCTTCTCATGGATGAGAAGGATGCATTTGTCATCTCAATGTCCAATTTGTAATTTGTTGCTATGATTGAAACATAGGAGGAACAAAACAGAATTGTATGAAATCTAATGGAGCCTCTTATTAGTTATATGATACCAAAATAATGCCCTGCAACCTACTGCCTTACAACTTAGTGGCC